TTTCCCTGAATAATGCCTCCAAATAGGACCTGTAAGAATTTGAAATTCCCAATAGCTGACTCGAATTACGCCTAAATAGTGTCCAATGCTCAGGCCACATAGTCTGTCCTGCCCAGAATTGCGTATAACTGGAATACGATTGGTCAAGATTCCGTTGGCATTGGCCAAAGGGCTTAAATTCCTTCTTAGCATTCAAGGCTATCAGTCGAGCTTAAATAAGAACAGTATTCCGTCTAGGTCACAAGTGATAAAGGACTTATGGGTGACATTTGCCACAATCAAGTGCGAAGGCCTCACGATGCTATTAAATTCACTTGGCCTAGTTTCCAAAATAATTATTCTCATCCAGACCAGACTGAAGTTTTGACCTCGCCTTGGTCCCATCCAAATGCATCCTGAGGCCTACTTGTGGGATTGTGAGAAAATGCAACCATCAGTCTTTCGACAGAGTATACAACCGAGGGTGACTAGAGATTTTGCAATTTATTCCAGCCTGTTGAATTGCCTTAAATGGCCTTATTTGTCGGCAGACTCGTCGTCTGTCTGCTCTCATTTACCAGACACTCTGTTGGGAGGACTATTTCGTGCCGTGCCGTGCCGTGCCGTTGTAGAAATCCGTCTGGTCCCCAAACCTCACTTGACAAAACACACAAGCCAGTTCCTCTCGGATGCGTCAGCCGGTCCACCTTTGCCTATACAGCGGAAGCCTAATCAGATTACCAGAACGGTGTGGGGTCATGCACAAGCGATTGGGACCCTGAAGTTGGATGTGGGCAGAAAATGGACAGGGCCGGAAGGTTGGCCAGATTGGGCAAGAGGGAAAAGGCGAAGATAATTGGCAAGGTGAGGGTTTTTCCAAGAATTCTTCTGTGACACAATCAGCAAATGAAGCAATAGCCAGACCCTATGCCAGGGCCGGGGAAACTGTTTCCCCTTTTTCACCCATTCAACTCTACGCCCGCTCTTGCTCCTCCCGTTTACAAGGACACCACTGTACCTTCTGCTCAGATGTGTCGTCAGCCAACTTATTAGATCAACCATAGCCGTGCTTATCCTTAAACCTTGCCGACCCCATTTCCTTCCTTGGCACGGAGTAGCTCCTCCCTCGTCGCCGTCACCTTCCGCTGCCTCGCTCTCTTTTCGGTTAGCCTCAATCTTCTACTACAGACCCGTCCGCTTGCAGTTGCAGGCTGAAAAGACCTTATCATCTGCCCTCTTACAGCATCAACTGGACACGCTTCGCTATTACTTTTGATCTTTTCTCTTTTCTCCTTTCTCCCCTTTACCCACAACGGCACGGGCATGCGCAGCTTAGCTTCCAACGCTTACATAATTCGGTTGCTATCTCCGGCCTCCACTCTTGAGGAGGCTGTTTTTACCAGTTGCCAGGCGTGTCACGGGCCTTTGATGACCTGGCCACTGGGGTTAAAGGGCAGGCGAGGGCAAGCCTGAATGGGCCAAGGCCAGGGGGAGCAGGAAAGAGGTGTCCGAGTTATCGCGCCATCACGACACCACTCCCTCGGTTGGGCTTCAGGTAACCCGAGAGCTGAACGCCCCGACTCCGCAGAGGGGCGCCTCCACGAGACCGTAGACATGAACAAGCAGGGAAAGATGCCGACTGGCCGGACTCAACGAGCGACTATTCTCGGCGGCAATAGCTCTCGAGACTATCAGCATTTGCTGGTCAAGAAGATAATTGGCCTAGGTTGGTTAAGGGGATTAAAAGAAGGATTATTGGGTCGTATCACAGTTAGGGATTAAAAAAGAGTAAGAGAAGAAGTCGCAAATTGGTGAATATCGGTACATTGTATGCAGATTTATGGGATTATTTATAATATGCCAGAAAGTAAGCTTAGTTTGCGTGCTGGGCAGATTGTTCAAATCTAACCTTGTCGCTTCATTGGCTATCACATTAGGCATATACTATGCTAGCAAAAGCAAATAGGTTTTAATGATACTCTTTCCACGACAATTAGAGCGTAGATATGATGATCAAGATGATGTAGAATTGGGTTAACTGTTTTCTGTTAGTTTCCTCTTGTTATAGCAATTTAGTCGCAGCGAGAGAGAGACATTGTAAAGCATACCTACATCTGCAGCTTCTGATAAAGTATTTATGATTGGTTCCACCAGTGGACCGTTTACTTGGTGCATCCTCAGACGTCTCGCGGCATCGTTATCCTTATCACATAATTATAATTTAGCAAAGAAACGACTAAAGTAAATCTTCCTGATCGATTTACACCAAGTCAACAGCCCGATGCTGGAAATTATCACTTTTATTGTTGCAAAGGAGGTAATACAAGGTCTCTTTTCGAAATGACCCAATTGCAAAAATAGGGTTTAATCAAAATGTA